AGGAAAAATATATTATCATCAAAGGAACAACCACCAGATTGACATCTGGTTTTCAACAATTAACACCAAAAAGAACAGATTATCATCTGTAAAATACTGAAAGAAAACAATTACAAACCTAGAATTCCCAACTGAGCAAAAATAGTGGGCAATGAAATAATACAATAATAGCTAATTAATCTAAAATAAGCAAGAAATGAGGGGAGGGAAAGGCATAAAACTGGCAGGACAAATAGAAAACAAAATTATAAGATACTAGGTATAAAGCCAAAGGTATCATCAACTACATTAAGTGTGAATGAACTAAATACTCCCAATAAAAGACAAAATTTTAGAATGTGTGGGTATAGATGCATACATATAAACCATACACTGCTTTCAAGGGACACATTAACACCTATTTTGAGAAAAAAAATGCACAATAAATAAAAATGGAAGTGAAAAGGAGGAGAAGATAGGGATGATGAAGGAAGACTTACTTCACTGGGTGGGACTGGCATTGGACAGTGACAATAAATCATAGCCCTCTATCTTCAAATATAGAAACAAAAGAGGAATAAACACAGAAGTCAGATAGATGAGGATTAAAACATGAGCTTTACAACTAATAGAGTGAATTTGAAAACAGAGCTTGTCCAGCAGTCACATTTGGGCTTCTTATGTATCAACCTTTCCTACAAGTCTAGACCTTGGGATCCCATTTAACAGGAAGTCCACACAGCTGACATGGATCCATCCAGGTATAAGAAGAGCTTCACTAGAGCTCTTCAAGTGGGGCCTCAGAGAGTAATGCCTCCAAATGTCTGCCTAGAGATGGTTCCCAGCCTCAGCTGCATAGGAGAATGAACTGAAAAGCTTTAGATATCAGACTACTGAAAAAGAATATGCAAAGGCAGGACTTAAGTATCTAATTTTTTTTTTTAAGTGATTCTACTGTGTCTCTAAGGTTGAAAACCACTGAATAAGGGAGGCATGGGGCCCACCTGAGGTGTGTCTACTATAAGAAAGATGGCACAGACACAGAGGAGAAGACATACATCTTCCAAAGAGCATGAACCTAAAAGAAGAAACAAAGGGGCTGACCCATAAATACATAGTTTCTTTTCTTAATTTCTCTGCATAGATAAAGTCTTACATTTCCCTTGGGGAGAAATAGGCAGATGATTTGGAAAGGGCAGAATTATCTTCCCAGTTCTGTGCTCTTCTCAGGAATGGAGTTAAAGTTTCTTTGTATAATTGTGAGGTTCAGGCAACAGGTTTGCTCTTGTGGTTGATGTGACTTTCAAGCTGGGCCTTCATAGAGAAATTTGCACATAAAAAAATTGGAGGAACAGGAAAAAAAAATGGAGGAAGAGGGATAAAGGAGAATTTGGAAGGAAGGTTTTTTTCTCTCTCAATGTTTTCAGTGATTTTCTGGGCAATGAAAGAATGATTTTTTTTTTTTTTAATAGACTCCACACCCAACATGGATCCTACATGGGGCTTAAAACTCAAAACCCTGAGATCAAGACCTGAAATGAAATCAAGAGTCGGATTCTTAACAGACTAAGCCACCCAGGCATCCCTGAAAGAATGATTTTTAACAGTACTAAGTATAGAATAAACAAATTACCTAAATTACAAGTTGGCTGAAATATGTCTTTCTGAGCTCAGGACCTTCAGCGACTCATCCTTTAGATCACAGGCTCTCAGCATTCTCCGATCCTACAGACAGATTTAAGTTCCCCTGCCATAGGTTCTCATGAGACCCAGAACAATCTAGAATCCTGTATTAGTGATTATCTGGTTAATGTCTGGTTAATGAATTCAATGAGGACAGAAGCCAGATCTGTTTATTCTTCATTAGATTCCAGGCTCCGGTCATCGTTGTTCCAGGTCTGTCGAATAACAGTCCCAGGCCATTCACTGGCAGCAAAAGTTGCTCAAAGTGGCAGATAAGGAAAGAATTTTTTTAAAAAAAGAGGTGGCTGGTGACTTCGTTAGAATTGGGAGTACCAGACAGCTTGAAAATGAAAATCAGATAAGGCTGCCAGTCTTTGCACAGGGCTGAGTTGTCTGTTCTCACCCAACACAATCGGCCATAGTGTAAGCACACCCGCCACCAGTCAAGAGACCTGTATAAGGGGCGCCTGGATGGCTCAGTGGGTTAGGCCTCTGCCTTCAGCTCAGGTCATGATCTCAGGGTCCTGGGATCAAGCCCCACATCAGGCTCTCTGCTAAGCGGAAGCCTGTTTCCCCCTCTCTCTGTCTACCTCTCTGCCTACTTGTGCTCTCTCTCTCTCTCTCTCTATTAAGTAAATAAATAAAATCTTGGGAAACAAAAAAAGAGAGAGACCTATATAAGACAAGATGATTCTAGAATAAGACCTCAAAAGACCATCTCCAGTCAACTTCACTCAGCCAGGGCACAGGCTCGGCCGAATAAGGGGAAAAATAAATAAAGATGTCCAGAAGATTCTTCCTGCTCTAACGCCTCAGCATAATAACCAACACCTATTCCAAATAATCATTTTTCTGGATAACAGTCTGGGGCATGACAGTAACCATGAGGTTAACTACCCGATCTTGAATTCAAAGGAGGAAAATGTGGCTAACTCTATGTCAAATAAACACAGGGCACCAAACTCCCTGGTAAATGCTGCCTTCAAACAACTGCTCGGTTCAGTTGCACTGCCTTGGCTCTTCTGAAAAACCGTCTCTGCCTGGGCTACCCAAATGATAAGCCGCATCCTGGGAAAGAATCATGCTCCTGAATCTTGGGGAATATTTATGAAAGCAAATGCAGGGAACAAATAAATTCAGTGATAGAAAAACAATACCCAGCTCTCTTCCACGTTGCCCTGGGCAAATCTGTTGCTTAAACAATAACAACAGGATCTAATCAGTAAAGCTCTCGGTTGCCAAAATTATACAAGCAACTCGCCTATTTAAAATGTCACATTTCCCCATCTGATATAAATACCTGCCGTCTGCTCACATTCCGAAAGTGTAATACAAATTAGGCCCAAACTAAAATCTACCTTGGCACATACTAATTTTTTTTTTTTTTCCCTTTCAAATGACCTAGATCTTGTATTATAAAAACTGTGAAGCCCTGGTGGTCTTTTCAGTAATTGGAATAGATCAGTGAAGCCTGGATTGCTTTTCAGCTCGGCCTGTCCACATTATTTTACACGTGGGATGGGCTTAACTAGCTCATTCTCTCTATAGAGACCTGGTTCAGCCTCAGCAGCCTCTTACACAACACCACTGCAACACTGCCTGCTATCTGATTGCTGGGAAAATCGTAGTAGTGAGCGGTTTTTATGCTACTGAATAGATCTGGTAATAAAACAAAACAATGCAATACAACACACAGCTTGAAAAATATTTAAAAAAAAAAAAAAACAATGTGGAAATAATAGAAAAGGTAAAAAGGCTAATCTGAAAGACTAATATAACCATAATCAGATTTGTTGCCTATGTAGGTTTATGCCAGTATACAGATTTTCTCATTAATGCCAAGAAGCAAGAAATGTATAAGCCATGAAAAAATACCCAACCTGTACACTTTGGTGCCTTCTATAAAATTAAATTTATATTGCAAATGTACTACATGCAGACCGGAACCATTTGTCTTCCTTGGACACAGACAGCTCTATCAAAATCCCCTGGGTAGTGGTAAAAAATGCTGTCACCAAACACCTTTGGAATTAGACTCTCTCTTAGGAACAGGACCCAGGAATCTGCATTTTCAACATCTCCTGTTCCCCCCCGAAAAGTGTGCTTGCTCTGCAAACCCAGCTTCCTGATAAGTCCTTAGCTATCCCTTCTGATCCAATCAGACCCCCTAAGCTGCTCACATAGAGAAATTCAGAGCTGCCTGGGGTTTTATAGTTAAGAGAACCTCTCCCTGGAGCTTGTGATTCCTTTAGATCTCTGATCTCACTTGAACCAAGTTAAGTAAGGAAAAATTCCGCACAAAGTCTAGTGGTTAATAGAGGGCAGAAGAAACAATACATTCAACGGAGTAATGTGATGTTTGGAAGCCGAATAAAAATGTGAACTGCTTCCAATCTCGAAAGCCTCTCAAATACGGGCAACCAGAGAAGCCAGAGCCATCCACAAAACACCACCACCGAGCACTGTCACTTCTGTGTGATTATAAACAAATCTCCTTCCCCAATCATCAACACCAGCACCCATGTTTATGATTACCTAAAGCCTATAACCAACAATTCAACAGCAGCAACCAAACCCCCAAGGAAAATAGCCCCTTCCCTAATATTCACTATCAACTTTGAGATATTCTTGCATATTAAATTAGGAATGAGAATTTTCAAAACAAACAACTCTAATTTTGAACATATTTCAAAGGTCTTTTGAGCAACAAAGGATCCCTGTGTTTACACAGTAATGTCAAGGAGGAAAGGAAAAAGGCCTCATCTGCATAAATATCATTGGACTGGCATTAAGCCTCTCCCAGTCCAGCTCAACGGGAAAAAACGCCCCAAAGAAACATTTACAATATGTCTTTAGTCTTTAGTGTTTGGCTTATCTATTTAATAAACACTTATGAAAGTCAAGATTTTGATTTTATTTTTTATTTTATGATGAATTCTGCTATTTTTATGATCAATTGCTATATGATGTTATTTCTCAAAAATAACTCAATTTACATGGCGCTTCTAAGATATAAAGAGTATGACTCAACTGGCGCTCCTTGAGAAAATTATCCAAAATTCAACCATGTGGAGGCATGTCGGTGGGGGGGACACCTTTATTTCATTTTAGACCAAAGACTTCACAACCTTCATCAGGCTTTGACCTTTCGGCTAAAATCTTTGTTACTGAAAAAGAAATCGCAGGACTGTAGTTTTCTCTAAGTCAGGGAAGGCGCAAGTAGGGCTTGCCAAAAAGAAAAAAAAGAAGAAGAAAAAAAAAGAAAAAGCTATCTAAAGGTCTTAATTGTAGTTTCTGGAAAGAGGTCAAGCAGTATAGAGAGGAAACAGAAAGCATACCCTTACTCATTTGGGGCTGAGTCTCTTCATCCACATCCAAATCTTCTAAATCTAGGAAATTGTCTACCTAGAAAAGGATTAACATCATTGTTATGTATATTAGACCTAATGAAAAAGTGCAATTAAGAATCAATGAATCCACTTCCACAGCATTCAAAGTATGCAACTGAATCCACTTTTCTCATTAACTTTTGAGTCCCAGCTAAAGGTCTTTGTGTTCACTGGGTTTTAAGAGACATAAGAAAGAAGCAGTAAATTTGGAAGTTGGCCTGGATTTTGTAGGCACCATAGTACGATCTCTATACTGAAAGGGAAAGAACAGTCTGAGGAGTTTTTGAAAAGGGACTTTGTTCCCAGATTCTCTGCCAGGATATATACCACTGCCGAGACAGTCCAAAACAGTCTCTGCTTTTTGTTCTCATTTTATTGCTTTTGCTTCTCAAGCAAATGATGGTGGTGGGTCTGGCTATTACCATAACGGGCTTTTCACTCTACAGAGTCAGAGAGAAGAAACTAAAGAAAGCAAAAGAGAAAGGTTCATTCGAAACAAAAATCATCCTGCCCCAGGTAAATCACAAAAGAGGTGAGCGGGGCCAAAAATCAAGTGTTCTCTCTTTCGAGCAAATAAAGCTGAAAATTACTTCAAAGGTAAAAAGCAGAGCAAATGACCTTTACAGCCACAATAGCAGCATTTCAATGAAAGACTATCCCACGTGGAATACCGCTTTCCACAGCAAGCTGACAATGAGACATTTCATATTAACAAAATGGTAACATTTCAGACACGAACTAATTCATCTCAGGTGAATATCGAAGAGTGTAAATAAGAAAATGATTACACCACCGGCACAACGGAGACCTAGCAGAGTAAAGGCATAATGTCGAAATGCCTTTTATGCTCATGACCTAAAACGTGTTCATAACAAAATACCATAAAATTACAAATTTAGATCTCCTAAGTGGAATTCAAAACATAGCCTAGGTCTTTCTTCCCCTAGGTCTACACCCCAGACCATGGCTCTTACATATGAATTGCAAATGGTAGCTTCCACTGCTTGCACATACATAACTGCGGTTCTTTCCTGGCATCCAAGTGACAGCAAAAATTTATCTTCCCCACGATGGTTTTAGTGCCAAAACTGCTATATTGTCATTTCTCTTGATGGTGTATGTTCAGGGTGACTGGAGTCATGTTTCTGTACTAAAGAACCCATTCCATTTGCTAAGCTTTGAGGAAGAAAGATCTGGAACCCAGCCAACCGAACATAGTTTAAGATAACACCAATTAAAAATCATATATATATATGAAAGAGAGAGACAAAATCTACTAAATTCTCCAATTTTGTATGAGAGACCGCAAATGGGTCCTTTGGGATTTTTTGTTTTGTTGTCAATTTTTTGTATTCTTTGCCATGGAAGAAAACTGAATCATCCCTTACCTTCACCTTTCCAGCCCGATTCAGATCACCTTGAAAGGAACTGCCAACTTTTTGGCCTTCATCTATCACTATCTGGGGGAAAAAAAAAAAAAAAACATGGTGAGGACATCTTGATGAGAAAATGAAACAACCAAAAATAAAGGAGCTGATCTTGTAGCCCTTCAGGCTATAAAACTCCCGTTCCGGTTTTTGTTAATTAGCTATGCATGATGGACCAGATCCACTAAACCATAGTAGTGGTCAGGGAATAGTTTTCAGGAGGTCTGACTTCTACTTGTGCCTCTAGACTCATCCACAGAATAACCTAGAGTAAATTACTTAACCTCAGTTTTCTCATGTGTAAAATAGGAACACTCCCCACCTCATTACCCCAGCTCCCATCCCACCCCAATGAACCTCTCAAGGACAAACGAGAGAATGCTAATACAACATTTTCAAGTTATTAGGAAACAATATCATTGAACAATTTATTGCCTCTCCACATGCTGGTTAAAGACTCAACAGAAAATGCCATTCCAACTGCCAGTGATAGCCCCTATAAAATGAATCCTCTAGGGGAAAAAAAAAAGTTCTGACAACACCTGGGTGGCTCAGTTGGTTAAACATCTGCCTTCGGCTCAGGTCATGGCCCCGGGGTCCTGGGATCGAGCCCTGCATCAGGCTCCCTGCTCAGCTGAGAGCCTGCTCTCCCTCTCTCTCTACTGCTCCCCCTACTTGTGCTCTCTCTCTCTGTCAAATAAATAAATAAAATCTTTTTTAAAAAAAGAAAAAGTTCTGGTCCCATAATCATCTCATTGGATGTAAGTTCTGGAATTAAAAAACTGTAGGCCTCTGCCATACAGAAACACTTTTCTAACACAGAGACTCATATGAAACCACATCTCACATACAATTTTGTCCACGATAACACAGGAAGACATGATGAGCTAGAAAATAGAAACTGGGGCACCTGGGTGGCTCAGTCCTTAAGTGTCTGCCTTCAGCTCAGGTCATGATCCCAGGGTCCTGGGATCGAGCCCCACATTGGGCTCCCTGCTCAGCAGGAAGCCTGCTTCCCCCTCTCCCACTCTCCCTGCTTGTGTTCCCTCTCTCGCTGTGTCTTCTATCAAATATAAATAAAATCTTAAAAAAAAAAAAAAGAAAGTAGAAACTCAAATGTTGTAACAAGTACAACAGCTTCCACTAGGGTTCCTTGAGAGTTAAAAAAAAAAAACCATAGCTAAGGAGAATATAAATATTGTCTATTAAGTCTTAAAAATTAGGAAGAAAGCATCCAATATTTAATAACTAAATCTTGGAAAAAATAAGATAACAGATGAATCCAGAGCACATAATAGAAACTCCCATTTCACACAGAGAATTATAAAAAGGAATTCTTTTGTCCCAAATAGAGAACAAGCTAAAATATGTAAATAATTACAAGAATTTTTAGATGGCAGTTCCTTAAAGGAACTTATTAAAAACTTGGGGCTAACCAAGTTACCCTCATAAACACTGGCTGCTGAAATCATAAAATGTAATGATGATTTTTGGGGGTGCCTGGGTGGCTCAGACAGTTAAGTGTCCAACTCTTGGTTTCAGCTCAGGTCATGATCTCATGGGTCCTGGGACTGGGCTCCAAATTGGGCTCTGCACTTTGTAGGGAGCCTGCGTGAGAGTCTCTCCCTCTGCCCCTCCCCCAACTCTCACACTTACACACTCTCTCGAATAAATAAATAAATAAATCTTTTTTAAAAAGGAAAAAGGAATATAATAATGATTCTTAATAAAGTTTTCCAATGGCACGCCTTCCAGAATTAAGAATCTGAGTTACTGATCCAATAACTGTCCAATGTTTCTTATGTTTTTACAGTTTCTTTCTCTTTTTAATTCATAAAGAATGCTCTTTTTCCTGTTTCTATAAATGTGCTATGACATTACCTGTTCGTCTTCTGAACATTGTGATGAAGTACGAAGAAAGACGGCTTTGTTTCTAAGATGATGATCATTTGGTTCATTTTCATGAGCAAATTTTACTGAAGGAAATATGTTTTCTGAAGAATCAGTTCCAAATGCTCCTCGTTTGGTCACATTATCCTCTGAAATGATAAGTTACACATTAGAAAATACACACCACACCCAGTCTTGCTTATTTTGCATTTCCTGAGTCTTTCTTCCAAACAATAACAACAACAAATGTTCTTCAAAATCTACAAGCAGAATGCTTGAGATACTAAGCACTCTGAACTTTATAAAATTTTTTCTAAAAATGCATAGAAAGATAACACTATTTCATTCACTTTTCAACAAATACTAAATGCTTACTATTATACCCAGCACTGTTCTCAGCCATTGTTAAAAGGTCAATGAAGTATGGTATTTGAAAAACTCTTAGGCATTAATTATCTCGTTTTTTCCCTAAATTTGAAGGGAGGTTTTCCTTATATGGAAGCAATGTATGGGTGATTTTATAAAGTTTTTAAGAGAAAAAATTAAAATTAGAAATAATTCTACAAAACAGAAAAGCTCTAACAATTTTTTTCAATGGCTATTTTTCTCATATTTTATCTGTGGATCCATATACTTCTAAAAAGCAATGTTTGACTATCTTTGACTATTTAAAACTATAAACAATTAATACTTTTGTACTAAATCTATGCATATTCATGATTATGTTCTTAGGATAAAGAAAGTCTAAGATTAATCCTAAATTAAGAGATTGAGAAAATTATGATAACATGATACCATTAACAGAAATGTGGGGGATAAATTCGGATGAGAGATAATGAATTAAGCTTTGATCATGTTCATTTGAAGTGCCAGTAGAAATTGTGAGGGAAATGTCCCAGAGGCAGCTGCAAATGTAGGCTAAAATGTGGGAGAGATATCACAGCAATAGGTAAATATCTGCTAAAAATCACACTGAGATAATGGTTTAAGCCATAAAACTGCTTCCTATATTAGAATTAATAATCAGGGTTAACATTTATTGAGTGTCAGATACTCTTTTATGAGCACTCAAAAATCTCATTTAAAGCCCACAACAACCCTATAGGAAGTTACCATTAGTATCCCCATTTTACAGATGAGGAAACCAAGGCCTACAGAGAAGTCGAGTAACTTACTCAAAGTTACATGGCTAGTGGGGCACCTGGGTGGCTCAGTGGGTTAAAGCCTCTGCCTTCAGCTCAGGTCGTGATCCCGGGGTCCTGGGATCCAGCCCCACATTGGGCTCTCTGCTCAGCGGGGAGCCTGCTTCCCTTCCTCTCTCTCTGCCTGCCTCTCTGCCTACCTGTGATCTCTATCAAATAAATAAACAAAATCTTAAAAAAAAAAAAGTTACATGGCTAGCAAATAGCACAGTGGGGATTTGAAGTCAGGCCTTTAGACTCAGAATCCACACTCCCAACCACAGTGTTATGCCAACTAGAGTAATATAGCAAATAAAGGCAAAGAGTCCTTAGAAAACAGAAGAATGAAGCAGAAAAAAGACAAAGAAAAAAATCCTGGAAAAGAGAGAAAGAAGAAAAGTTTACAATAGCACCAGAAGAACCAAGGGTGCATGGTACATTCCAAAAGCAGAAGTGGCTTTGCTAGAAATGACCAGAGCAACTGCGGGAATCCATGTAGTGATCACCAGAAGAGTGATAAAGAGATTCAAAAGAGGTCAAGTGGCAGAAATCAAGTAACAGGCAGATTGGAGAACCCTGTTCCATCTCCTTATGGTACTCCACCATGAAAAAGCTCCAGGGTCACAAGGACTGTCTGATCTGTGAGCTTTGCAGGCAGGGATCTAACTAAAGGGGTTACAAGACAGCCTAACCCAGCCCAGTGGCCGTGCTTGTTTCTCTTGAGCTGTTAATTGCACAGCTTCAGAGTTAGTGAGATTCTTGTTCACAGCCGGGTGCAACTCCAGAGTCCTTTGTTCACTTCCTTCTACCCCATCACTGGCAGAGCTAAGACGTGTGGGGGTATCTATAGGACATGAACACAGAGATACTGTTGGAGCACAAAGGTAAGGTAACCTAGTCCATAAGCCAGCGAGGGAAAATGCAAACACTAACTGCACCACTTTCTCTTTAAAAAGAATTAAGAAATAACACAAGTTCAGGCCAGCTCTCCCTACTGACTCGGGCACCAACATCTGTGACTCCTAATGCTTTCCGCTGGCACAGTAGAAACTCTAATGTGAAGCACTAGTCTTGGCAGGGGGCAGGGGAGGATAAGAGGGGTAGGAAGGGGGAGAGTGAGTGAGGTAATGGGAGGGTTGCCGAGAATACTGCTGGAGTAATCGACAACAAAAAATGCTCTTCAAAATCCACAGGCTGAATGCTTGAGGTACTACAAAAGACCAGAGAAGTGAGGTAGAGATGGTCATGGGACTTCTCCTCCTGGACTTCTTTTACAGCCACAGAGGGGTCCTACATCAGTCCTAGGGCTAAGATAAGCGATGGTAGCAGGGTAGAGGGAGATAAGCGTAGAAACAGGAGGAGTTCCTCAAATTCCGTCAAAGTTAGAGGCAAGAAGACTTCCCGTGACTACCTGTCATTCTTCCTTAGTGCACTGTTCTCATAGGAGGTAGAAGTTTCCCTTCTCCCTGCTTATCCTTTATGTCTAGCACAATCTCAATCTAGTATTGACTAAGAAAACACTATGTCCCAGCACACTGTTGTAATAGTCTATTGACTCAAGAACCTGAAAAGCACAGCGATGTCTGGGAAGAACAGATGCTCTGTAAGGACAAGCTCTATTTATTCTCATAATCACTCAATGTACACCTCTGCCATTTTCAATAAAACACGTAGGTTATTTGACAGATAACCCGATGAAACTCCTTTGAAATAAAAAGCAATGTATCACAAAGTCCCAGGTTCTGATACCGATGTTGGACTATTGTTGGGGTCTCAGATCTAACAAAATATTTGGCTCATCCTTTTAAAACTTTATTTTGTAAACATAAAGCTTTCATTTAAAAAATACCAGAAGATTCAGAAAAGAATGTGTTCTCTCTCTGACAGAACCTATAGTTGAGGCCTCCTTCCTGAGCCTTGAAAATTGTTTCACAAGAATATATACTCGATCGCTCCAAAGACCCAGAAGTGCTTCTCAAAAAGGCTTTTATCATTTTTTCTGAAAAAGCAGCAAAATGTAAATCTCTTGGCAAAATAAAATAGGAAAAAAAGTTTTTTTTTTCAATATGATAATGTCAAAATGGCAGATGTTGGCACAGCCCAGAATCCCAAGTGGCCTAAAGCCTGATCAGAGAGCCAGGTGCTGCCTCCTGGAGTTATCCTGGTGGCCTTCCAAACGTACCACCCAAGTGTCCGTCTCATCTCCTTCTGTTTCTGTGTTCCATTGAGCCCTTTTCCCCCTGTCATCTTATCCCTAATGTTCCTTGCTTTGAAATAAGTGTCAGACATAATACACTTTAGAAATCTAGCAGCAATATTTCAGAGCACAAGTAGGTTACTGAGACCTGAAAGAGAGTTTCTTTGGGTATTTCTGAGTCAAAACTTCAATACAGATGAAACAAAGGCTTTTTGTTTTGTTTTGTTTTGTTCTGTTTTTTTCCTCTCCTAAAGGCTGCATTATTCTGAAGCAATGGAATTTCAATTTTCTTTTGATCCCAAACAGACCAGCTTCCAACGGTTCTCCCTTTCAAGGCCACCCACTAGACCCACCGTGTCTAATTTCACTCCTTGAAAAGATTTCACTCCTTGAAAAGGTCAAAACCACAGATGCCTCAATAAATTAAACACTGATCACATATTGATTGCTATAGCTTCCGGATGAATGTGACCGCTTTCAGAGAACTCCATTTTTAAAGAAAAAAAAAAAAAGTTTTAAAAATTCAAATCCATCCATACAAAAGTCAGATTAGACTAGACCCCAAGTGCAGAGAACCATCACTGCACTGGCAGGAGAGTTTTCACAAATCAACACAACCAGCATCAGAATTCATGACCAAATTCCGACAACAACCTCCAGTGTCTTTACTTCCGCACCAGGGTCAGTGGTAATATGAATCAAGAGCATGTTCTCAGTAGTGAAGAGATATTGACCATGTGGCTAGAAGGAAAGAAAAATTCTTGGGGGGCAATTCTGTGCAACACTGGATATTTACAAAAACCCTTCTGCAAAGAGAATAGGGGCTAAGCAATCATGCTTATAACAAGGTTGGGTACTTTGAAAGTCAGGGGGTGATTTTCACATTATATTCCTAGCCTGGAGCAATGTTTCTCTGGACAATAATATTTGCTCTTGATTTGTCCAGCCAAACTACTTCACGCCACTGCTTCTTGATCACATGCTCCTTGGTATCTGGCCTCCCCTGGAGCAATAGTCGTTAGGATTAAATAAGCAATTTAAAAATCAATCAATCATAAATCAGAATAAATCCAAAGAAGCTAAATTCAGCAGACAAATGTTTTGTCTAAATTCCCTTCGCAGTGTTCTGAATTCCAACTGTTTTATGTTCTTCATTTGAAAGGGCACAGGGAGGAGAGGATTACCTCAGCCTGGCCAGTCAGGAATAATTGTGCTTTCCCCGAGGCTGGATGATAATTGACTCATTATTCACAGTCATAGCTCTCAAGCTGCCAAGACACAAATGCACAACCCTGGCCCGGAAAAAAAAAAAAATGTGTCAAAGCCCAAGATGAGGGGCACAACAGCAGTAAGTTAAAATTGTTGAAACATCCAGTTTTAGGTACTCATAGAGAGAAAAATGTGAAGAGGGTGTAAAGTGGTTGAAAGTTGATTTATGGGAAGAAAATCCGAGTGGCAGTTGAGTTATACAATCCATTCAATCTGGAAAATTATACTCCAGGCATCAACTATATGCAAGGTGACAAAGATGGGGAACCCCAGTCCCTGCCCTTACAGAGTTTATACACCAAGAAGTTAACCCAAGTATGCCAACCACCAGAAGAATACAACCATGGAAGACAATGGAAGGGAGTCCAAAGTAAGAGAATGGCAAAACCATAACAGGTTTGGGAGAATCATAAGAGGCTTCACATAGGCATGGAGCGTCTGAGTTGGGCTTTGAGAGACCACAACAAATTTCAACAGGCAAGCACTGCTGAGGTTATCCCAT